CACCAGAGAGAGAGAGAGAGAGAGAGAGAGAGAGAGAGAGAGAGAGAAGGGAGAAGAAGAAGAAGAAGAATTCTTTTAAGAGGACAAATAGCGTTGTTATTATTTTGAATTGAAACACTCCTCAACGATATCCCATTGTTGAAGTAATCTTGTATTAAAAAATGTAAACCCCTTCAAGTGTTCAAAATGCATCAGATTCCACTGCATCAGATTCCACTGGTTGAGGGATCATTTTAACGTGATATGCATAGATCAAGAGGTTCTCTACCTGTGTTTTGTATTACAGGGGTTTATTTCAAAAACCACGTCTGGATGTGGTTTTTGTCTCTTTTTTTAAGTTTATACTATTATGTTATTTATGATCATTATGCTGTCTTTATGATCCTATTGTTCTCTAATAGCAATCTATCTTCGTACAGAAATGACAATATAGAGAAGTCCATTGAGAGCTACAAAGAAGCATTTGATGTTGTATATCTGGTGAGTCTACAATCAGATGCTACAGAATAATACATGAAGCTAAGTACAATGCCATCTTTCTCCCATACATGAGTGATGCTTATATCTCGTGTATTCATTGTGCAGAATGATGCATCCATGTGGGGAGTCGTCGATCTTGTGTCTCAGCTATGCCCATCTAACCAATGAATTTCGTATTGCTTTCAAGTTTATGTTATTTCAAAATCTGCATGGTTGTTGATAAATCTACTCAGAGGAAGATAAAGCATGCAGAAGTTGCGTCAAAGCTGAACCTCGAAGCAAAAAAGCTTTTTCTGTAGTTAGAGGAAGCATTCACCTGAACAAGGCAAATACTTGTTCTATAGAAATATTGATGGTGTTTCCAATGTTGATTTCATATTCAATTTATGTATGCATGTAAGCTCCAGCAGCTTGCTCTTCTATTATGGCATCTTACTGTTTCAAGGAATAATGAACGCGACAAAATGATAAATTTTTGGTTCCTTGTCTATGTTAGCTCCTTTCTCGCAGAAGTTGGAATTGCTAGCATTACTCCCTATAGTTATACCTTGCCTATAGTTATACCTTGCCTCAGTCAAAGGAGGGCCATTTTTTTAGGAAAAATGATACATGCGTACCCTTAGGCAAACCTCCGTCCACACCCCCCTCTAGCTATAGTGCAGGGGGCCTTATTTGAGATTTTTTTAAAAATCTCAAGTGGAGCCCCCTTGCACCGTAGATAGAAGGGGGTGTGGTCGAAAGTGTGCCCGAGGGTGTGCCTGTAGCGCCTCCTTTTTTTTAGAGTATTTTGAAGTTAAAAATTCATTTAGTATTATTGACGACCAACTCAAATTCATCCGCGCGAATGGGACATCATATTCTTAACAGATGTTAGCTGTACTATTATGTGGGAACTTCTAGTTATACACCTCAATTAAGTTTACCCAACCCCTTTCTTAATAGATTTAAACCAAAAACTGGCCAACTAAAAGACCAAAACTCACAAACATCTTCTCCTCCAACAGTTTAAAAAAAAAATCCCTCCTAAACCACCGTTTCTGATCTTCCCCAACTTTCATTTCTGAACTACTCCAACTTCGTTGAGCCGTATTTTGATAATTGAGGGTATTTTGATAATTGAGGGTGTATGATTAAGAGTTAATCCAATGATGGCTTCTACACTGGGAGAGGGAAAAATAAAAATAAAAAAAAATCCTATTTGCAAGGCCCTTTAAGATTTGACGGATGTAGAAACAATTTCAAAGTTTTGAGAGGATAGTATGCAGTTACTGAACATTTGAGGGACTTATATCTAAATAATACTTCTTTATTTTTATTTTGTTTTATTTTGATAGTTTGCATGCAATAGTTGGGCATGTAATTATGTGAGAAAAATGACTTTGTGATTACTTGTAAGTTCTTTCCACATGTAAGATACGATATGCTTTCTGAGAACTCATTCATTGTTGCACAATATCATCAATTAATTCTATGAACAGAGTTCTATCTTTTATCCAGAGACGTATCAATTGATATAAAAAATTGAATGCCTTGTGATTCGAAAGGTCATATATCAAGAATTGATTATTTTTTTTATTTTTTATTTTTGGCCAACATCAGTTTCATGAACTTTATCGATCGTGCACTAAAATGGATTCCACAAATAACGTCATAAGTTGCGGCTCTAATTGCAATACTTTGACAATTTAAACAAATATAATAATTTAAATTTTCATTTTATTTTGGAATCTTAAGAGAATGCATTGACCAAATTATTTCCTGGTGTAAACCTCTATAATTTCGAATTATTAATTACTTTAATCTCGTAAAGAGCTTGTTCTACTACAAAAAATTCATCGAAGTCCTAGATTTTCTAAAAAAATAAGAATTAAACCGGGTCAAAAATTGCCTCTGCAAATAGTACCGCATTATAATAGAAGAATCCTAGGCTTCAATCCAAATGAGCGGACCAGACGTTGATTTCTTGAGGCATCATTTACCAACACTTTTCTTGTTATATTGTTTTGAGGCTCTTTCTTTCTCTCGCTAGAAACCACCTTAAAATAGGGTAATTATATACAAATCATTTTTGAATATAAATTTATACATAAACCACCTTTAAAGTATGTTTCTATTGCAACCAACCATCCCTCAATAAAAATTCACTAAATACTCTTTAAAACTCACATTTAGAGCACATTACTCGTTTCATTAATGTCTAGTTCTTTTTAAGATACAAGTCTACCTTGAACTTGAATTTTTTTCTTTGTTATTAGTTTTTTTTGGTAAAAATTTGACTGGGACGTGATTGATTGTAACACAAATTCACTTTAAAGATATTTTATATATGATTTTTTTATAATTACCTTATTTTTATGATGATTTCTAGGGTGGAAAACCTATCATGTTCCATTGGAAATCACATCTATAAAGTACTTTCTAACAAAGAAGCTGTACTAATTTATGTTCATATAGTTTACTATAAATCAAAACACAATAAAACATGGACAAAAATAAGTCTCCCTTTTATGAAGTGGTGTTTAAAGGACTCGTAGGGCTATTGTCGAAGCCTTGGCATTAAGCTTCCAAGTGGGTGAGTTAGGACAAATTTTAATTAGGGTAGATTTCACAAAATCCCTTCAGCCGATTGTGAAATAACTCCTTAAGTTTAAAAATATCAAGTAACCTCTCTAAGTTTGGAGTGTTTTAGAAACCACCCAATTATGTTTTCAACGTTTTCAATTGTCCCTCGTTACAAGATTAGATGATCTGGTAATTCAAAGACCAAACTATCCTTTTCAAATTAACACTCTAATTATTAAGTTAAATTAACTAGATTCTTTATCCTAATTAAGATTTATAGGGGCTTTTGTAAAATTTACCTTTAATTTAGTGGCGTTAGCTAGTTAGCAGCTATCTAATAAAACTTAAGATGCATTGACATTTATAGAAGTTTGGGGGGTTTTCTAGAAAACCAGCCAAACTAAATGTGGTTTCGTAACCTCGAAACTTTAAAACCTTAGAACCGGATTAGCTTCAGACCTCACCCGGTTTTGGGTTTGTTTTTTATTTGCAAAAACTAGATCAATTCTGATCTAACTTTTCTCAGGCTTAAAACTATATAGTTCTTATTTTAGCTTAGTTTCGAGTAATTAGTCAAACAGGCCCCCAAAAATTTACTTTTAGTGCAGCATAAAGGTTGAAAGTATAATGATTGCTTAGAAGTGCCAAGTTTTTTTTCTCCGGTGAGAGGATTGCAATATTGGTGGAGCTATATGCAGAGATCCAAAGTGTCCAGTCGACATGACATCTCATAAGTTTGGAACCATGCCCGCATCAGTGGCCGTGTTAATCTATGCAAATAATTGTCTCTACGCAATGGTGAACTCCTACTTTGATCGATCTTAACACACCACACACCCCCCCCCCCCCCCCCCCCCCCGCACGCCACCCCCAAAAAACATTTTGTCAATGGTAGGGTATTGATTAAAAAGAAAATGGAGAGCCATATGATCGGGACAATTTTTTAAATACAAACTATATCACAATAACTTAGCTAAATTAGACAAAAATACTATAAAGTTTCTCGTTTATATAATTAAATATCACAAGTTATATTTCGATTAAAAAATACCATAAAATTTTTAAAATTTTCACGTTACTACCATCGATCATGCAAACGTGGAAATTTTCACCTGAATATTTCTCTATGATACTTATATGCTAATTTTATAGTTTTTTAACTGATAATATTTGTTCGATTTGCTATTAAATCGACCAAATTTCTTTTCAAACTTACCTTAAATCTACTTTAAAATAGAGTTGAGATATTTTCAATAAAAATTTAATGAATATTAATGGCTAGCAAGCCCTAAAATTAATATGTAAATATCATAGAGAAATATTCGGATGAAAACGTTTAAGCTTTCATGACCATTGGTATTAACGTATAAATTTTAGAACTTTATGTTATTTTTTTTAACCAAAATGCAAGTTGTGATAGTTAGTTGTCCATATGAGAAATTTTGTGGTGCTTTTATGCAATTTAGCCCAAAAACTTTTGCATGCATGTAAACGGAATATTCTGAATCATACAAGAGACATCTACATCTTCAAATTGTCATTCCAATCAACAATAACTTCGGTGGTGTAGTGAAATGAAGCTTTAACATTGTATGAGCAATGCATGTTCAAATTTCATTGATATAAATTTAAAGTGGATTGAAAAAAATATTGTGATGTGATTCTAGGTTTCAACACATAAATAACATATTAAAAAGAGAAAATTAATTACCCAAATGGTTGCACCCATTGAGCCTAGAGTCCCTAAGATTTTCACTACTGGAGTTATAGTTTTTTGGTAAATGAAAATTTTTATTCATCACCAATATGTAAAATTTGTACATCAAGGATAACCTCACATATGTGAGTTAACAACAAAAATATAGCAAAACTATATACAAGCCTCCTCAAAAGAAGAGAAGGAAAACTGAAAACGTGCACATGGTTCGTGCACATCCAGGCCTCAAAAAACTCAGGAGCAGCAGTAGAGAGAAGCCAAGAAACACTTGTACTCCTCATTTCAACCTTCAATTTGGAGCCTCCACATCAAAACAAGACCTCAGCAAAAGGCAGGATCCTATTTCACAGTTGTACTCCTCACTTCAACTGAAGCCTCCGCATCAAAACAAAGCCTCAACATAAAAACATGATCTTAATTTCCACAGGGGATTATAGTGCTAACATCAGATCCTTGTGTTCTTTCAGGAGCTCACTATTAAGGATGCTGGATAGGATATCAATTTTGATTTCCCTAATCAACCGATCAGCACCCTTGCAAACTTGAGTGAAAATTCTAACATTTCTTTCCCTCCAAATACTGTAAACAGTAGCCGCCAAAGCCATTCTCTTGATTTTATTTTTGAAAACACTCCCTCTCAACCTGATATTATACCAGTCCAGGAGTAAGTTCCAGTCACACGACCTCCAATTAAACCTTAGCCAGTCCATAATACCATTCCAAACTTCACTTGAGAAGCAACAAGCAAAGAAAAGGTGATTTCTAGTTTCTGTGGCATTTACAGAACATAGGATGCAACAATTGCAGTTGATAATCCCCCTGCCCAGAAGCTTATCCTGTGTAAGTAATCTGTCAAGGACAGCTAGCCACAACACAAAACTGTGCTTAGGAAAGCTAATTCCTTCCCAAACAGTTTCCTTCCACACTACCTTAGCTGTAATAGGAAGCAGGGCATGATATAGAGCAGAAATTTTCAACTTATAACTCTTTATACAAGAGCTAAAGAGATGAAGAAGACCTGAAACTCCACCACACATATTCAGCACATTATCTCTAATTCTGAGGATTTGTTTCCACATCCAAGAGTCACCAACTTTAGCCTCAACCTGCCAAATATTCCTATGTTTCAGATAAGTGCCATGAATCCACTTAATCCAAAGGAGCTCCTTGTTTGAATGAATAAACCATATGATCTTAAGGGCAGATGCA